CTCTGAGAATTGAGCCCAGGTGAGTGAAGCAGCCTCGGCCGGGCTACCCAACTCATACGCTTGCCATCACTGATAAGTTGCTCCCTTAAGCTGGAACGTAGTGAAAGCAACCCCACTCGTCTTCACAATACCTATAGTACGGAGGATACGATGGTACTCCTCTAGAAAACCATGTGCATCCTCTGAAGCTAAGCCGCTGAAGGTAGGGGGTGGTACTTCTACTACCTCTCGAGCCTGAGCTGCTCCCCTTAAGATGTTGCTTCCCTAACCTCGGGCTAAACTGGGACAACCAGATGCATTGTTATGACCTCTAGGACCTGGTCAACCTGGACCCACTGCTCTAAGGTGCGGGCGGTGAGAGTCTATGCTCCTCTGTCGGCTTGAGATGTGGCAAGAGCAAGTGAAATCAACCTCGCCTGAGCTAGAGTGCCAAACATGCTCAAAAACTTGGCGAGGGTCTTTTGAAGTGTAGGGGCAGTAATAGGGGTCTCAGGTGCCTGCCCCCCAACTGGAGCTATTGGCGGCTCCTCTGTCGCAGCTCGGGCAAATATTATGGCTGCACCATGTGCCCGTCCTCGGCCTCTCGCGGGTGTCTTATCATCAGATCCAGCTGTATGTGTCCTCACCATCTGTGAGAAAATAGAAAGACAGAGATTTAGCATTTTGAAGTCAACAAATTCGAACGATAAGGAAATCCAAGAAGTGAAGCTCTTCCTAACAGTTCCATAGCCTCCCGATGATAAGTACAGACGTCTCCGTACTGATCCGCGAGACTCTACTAAACCTGCTTGTGACTTATAACATCTATGAACCTACAGCTCGGATACCAACTTGTCATGACCCCAATTTTCCTCCGTAGGATATCGTGATGGCACCTAGTCTCTAAGACTAGGTAAGCCTACCATACATGCCAAATTTAATTGATAATTTATAAAAACCTTCAAATATCTCGACAACTATCATATAAAGAAACTTTGTAGCTCAAAAGAAAACACTTCCCAAAATGTGGCGAATACAAGTCACAAGCTCTATAAGATGTTACTGAACATCCCTATACATCAGTGTCTATAAAAGGATAAGAAAATGAAATAGACTAGATAGAGGGCGACTTCGAGGCCTGCGGACACCGGCAGGTATACCTTGAAGTCGTCGAATCTAAACTCATCTCACTAGTGCCTGGACTGAAAGGAGGTACTTGGATTTGCAAAAAAAAAAATTATACAGAATCGTAGCATGAATACACCACAACGGTACCCAGTAAGTGCCAAGCCTAACCTCGATAGAGTAGTGATGAGGTCAGGTTAAGGCCTTACTAGAAAAAACAGGTATATGACAGTATAATAATGAAGGTCAGGTCAAGGCCCTACTGGAATAATAAAAAATAATTGAATAGGTATATAACAATATAATAATGATAAACAAAGGAATGAAACAATAAAGAAATATACCGAGAATTGCTGCATTGAACTAAGACAAATAATGCATCACGGAAGAAAACAAGGAATGATAAGACACGAAAACAAAGCAACAAAACACAAGTGAAGTAATAGAAAATTATCAACAAGAATCACTATCGGGGTACCGCCTCGTATTCTCAAATCACGAAATAATTCACAATCTTTCCTTATATCACCATGCGAGCCTTGCATTTAGTTTGAAAATCATTTTTTCCGAAATAACTTCTTGCGTTTTAGCCCAGCTTATCACACCGTGTGGCTTCAACTAGTTCCCCTACTAGCAACATGCGTATCAAACCCACCTTATCTCACCGCATGCGTTTCAACCCCCAAAATCTTATATCACCGCATGTTTATCAATATCACAACGTATCACAAATCGCACCTCAGGTGCCCAATATCACAACTTGCCAAAGAAGTCAACAACAATGGTGTTTCCACAATAAATAGCCCATGGCTCAACCACAAATGCACAAGAGTCTCAACAATAACAACCGGAAATGAATAACTCAACACGAATAGTATTTCACAACTTAACAACTTTGTCTCAACGTGAATCGCGAAGATTATAGCTCAATACCAATTTCAACAAGAAGATATTTCAAGAATTAACAGCTTCAAGCAAAGAACTCAACGGTTAAATAACGAATAATAAATAGAAGAAATAATAATTTCAACTAGGCATGTAAAGGCAATTAACAAGTAAGAGGTCATGTGAAGATAGATTAAAGATGATGAATATAATATATTATGGTAACTCAATTAAAGGCATGAAGAGAATCTACATAGCTAGAACCGATAAATTACCACATTTAGCCCGTGTACACACTCGTCACCTCGCGTACACGGCTTTCACATATCACAATTAATAGAAAACAATACCGATCCTAAGGGGTAATTTTTCCACACAAGGTTAGGCAAGACACTTACTTCAAAACACGCTACTCAATACACTAGTAGGCCCTTTCATCGATTATCTAACGCCGAACTGCTCGAATCTAGCCAAAACAACTTCATACCATAAATATAAACTATAGGAAACTATTCTGAACAATAAAGTTACGATCTTTAATGACAAATAAAAAGTCAACTCAAAAAGTCAACCCTAGGACCGTGTCTCGGAACTCGACCAAAATTATAAAATCTGAACACACATTCGATAACCAGCCCAACCATACAAGAATTACTCAAATCCGACTTCAAACCGCCTTTCAAATTCCAAAATTTAGCCTAAGAAGTTTTCACAATTTCCCCCCAAATCGATTGCACCTGCAGTCCTGCCCAAGGCCCTTTCCAAAATTCCGCTTCTGCAGAAGAGAAGTCTGTGCCTGCGGAGGTGCACCTGCAAGCCCAAACCTAGGTTGCCCCTTTCTGCTTCTGCTCTTCACCACTAACACCAGTGCGTCCGCACCAGCGGTGCGATGACACCAGAATGGTTGATGCTTCAGCAAAATGATCAAGTCCAAAATTATTCTGGATTCAATTCGAATCTTACCCGAGGCCCCCGGGACCCCTTCCGAATACACCAACAAGTTCCAAAGCACATAACGGACCTAGTCGAGGACAAAAATCACAGAAAACAACATCGATTCAATGAATCGCAACCCAATTCAAGCCTATTGAAATTATAAACTTCCGACTTCCATAACTAACGTTGAATCATACCAAATCAACTCCGATTGACCTCAAATTTTTGCACAAAAGTCATAAATGACATAACGGATCTATTCCAGCTTTCGGAATCAGAATCCGACCCCGATATCAATAAAGTCAACTCCCGGTCAAACTTCTCAACCTTCCAAACCTTCAACTTCCTAACTTACGCCAATTCAAGTCATGACCCACGGGCATCCAAATCAACATCCGGACATGCTTCTAAGACAAAAATCACCATACAATGCTATTGGAACAGTCAAAACTCCATTCCGGAGTCATCTACACAAAAGTCAAACTACGGTCAACTATTTCAACTTAAGCCTCCGACTTAGGGACTATGTGTCTCATTTCACTCCGAAACTCACCCGAACCAAAGCCAAACACCCCCGGCAAGTCACTTCACCATAATACAACATAGTGGAGGCAATAAATAAGGGATCAGAGCAAAATACTCAAAACGACCAGCCGGATCGTTATATTACCCCTACCCTGGGGGTAGAGACACTATTTCCGATAGACCCTCGACGCAAGAAAAACAAAAGATAAAAATAAAGAGATCTCAATAAGTTATGTCTCCACGAAAAAAGGCGAACCGAAATGATGTTATTATCGACAACAATTTTACATAGTAATGCAACAAGATGATGTTCTTGAGCCAAAATCTGCCGATGAATATAGACATACAAATAATTGGCCACAATGGAAGGACACAATTCAAACGGGATTGACTTCAGTTAGATTATACCTCATTTATTTCATATTCAGTCTAATAAACTAAATATTTATCAAAAAAAAATATATTCACCAAAAAATTCTATTGTCATTTAATCTCAATATTATAACTCACACATTATAATCTTTGTATAACTTATTCACAAACCAAATCAGCCATGACTATTCACAATTTAAGACTCACAGGAGCAAAGGTCTAGATTTGACAAGACAAATAAAGTGGTTGAATTTTGATTAGAAGAAAAATCATACTCCCTCCGTTTCAATTTATGTGAACCTGTTTGACTGGGCACGGAGTTTAAGAAAAAATGAAGACTTTTGAAATTTGTGGTCCTAAACAAGTTAAAAAAGGGCCCAGAGTATTTGTGTGGTTATAAAAGCTTCTCATTAAGGGTAGAATTGTAAGTTTAAGCTAAATTATTTTCAAATTTAAAAAGGGGTCATTCTTTTTTGAACGGACCAAAAAGGAAATAGGTTCACATAAACTGGAACGGAGGGAGTAATGAATTTACGTCAAATCACCTGAAATTCTTCTAATAACCTGTTTGGTCAAACTTCAAAAATCAGTTTATTTTTAAAAATATTTTTTTCTCAAAAATACTTTTGAAAACCTGTTTGGTCAAACTTCAAAAATCAGCTTATTTTTAAAAATATTTTTTTCTCAAAAATACTTTTTTCAAAAGTACTTTTGACGAGAAGCAGTTTATGTTTGACCAATTAATCTGAAAAGCACTTCTGAGCAACAATTAATATTTGACCAACCTTTTAATAAGTATTTCTAAGTGTGTTTTTATTAAAAAATACTTTTCACAAGTGCTTTTTGGGGAGAAACTACTTTTTTCTGGTTCAGCTTCGATTCAAAAATACTTTTTTTTTTCTTCCAGAAGCTTGGCCAAACACTTCCACTTTGAAGAAGCTTGGTGACACAGGCTATAAATAAAATAAATAAAAAATCTGATCAAAATTTTATTTATTTTATTTTGAATTTTAACTAACTTAAAAAGGATAAAAGAAATACTCACAAAAAGCTGTAATTAATTGTTTCACTTGAAACAGCTCATGAAAATAATTTTATTTTTCATCTACAAAGCGGATGTAATTTTTTTACAAAAAGTTCCTATATTCGAAATTTCGAATTATTTCCAGTTACCATTCTAAAGATTGGGCCAGTCATTGGGCGAAGACTACAAAATTAACCACTGTACAACCAAAGGAAAAGCTGTTTGAGAGAGAGAGAGAGAGAGAGAGAGGCAAAGTTGAAGATTAACCTCTACAGCTGAGCCAGAGAGGAGAAGCTCAAGTAAGAAAAAGGACTCTTCTCAATTTTATTTTCAATTTTCCCCAACTTTCTTTGGGTAATTATCTTTTTGTCCCTTTTGGATTCCCAATTTTTCTTTCGATTAGGAAACTATTATTCGTCAATGATAAATTGTAATCGTTTTTTGTATGCTCTTATCCGTTGACTGTTACATACAATTGGATACCATTGGCTAATGTAAATGTTCAAAATTTCTGATATCGTACGAGATGTTTTGCATATATATCTGAAATTCTGGTATGGGTATTGAGCATGATTACTTTTTGTGATCTGGGTTTTCAACAACTTTTTTTTAATGTTTTAATTAACATGATGTAGAAAAAATTTCACGTTTTTTTTTCTTGTGACTTCTGATGTGGGTAGGTGGGTGTCCATTTTTACTACTGAGTTACAAATTTTAATTTTTGTCTGTCGGTTTTATGAAGATCTACGTGCTGTTGTTACTTTCCTAGCTGTCAGATCTCTTGATGTCTTGCTTGAAAGATGCTTCAAGTTTCTGCAGTTCTATTCTCAAACTGTAAATTAAAGTTTTAAGATTATGCTATTATGCTCTCAGATATTCGTTCAGTACATTAAGATCTTATTCTTTTCTCTGCTAAAACATCATCTTTTGACAAGAGGGGGTTGCTCGAGTGGCTGAGCCCTCCACCTTCAACGAAGAGGTTGTGGGTTTGAGTAACCAAGGTGGAAGTTGTGAAAAGGCATTGTTGGCACATGAGAGAAGGGATAATGGGGTGAGTGGTGAGTATGTCAAATCAACAACGACAATAACTATGCCTCAGTTCCAAACAAGTTGGGTCAGTTACCAAATAAAAATAGAAGTGAAAATAAGTTAAATATATATAAATATTAGCAATAATAATAATAATAATAATAATAATATTAGAATAACTATAACAAGACTAAATCCCATTTCCCACTAGTAGGTATCACATATATTGATCCTTTTCTTCTATTATGCCCTATCTTTAGCGAAGTCTGCATTTATCCCAAGAAATTGTAGGTCTTTTGAAATAACTTCCTTCCATGTAACTTTAGGTCTACCTCGTCCTCTTTTAACACATTCATTCATCATAGTTCCACCTATGGATCGGTGCATTTGTAGGTCAAGACTTGGTCAAACCATCTTAAGCGACCTTCTTTCATTTTATCCTCAGTGTGTGCTACTAAATCCCATTTCCCACTAGTAGGTATCACATATATTGATCCTTTTCTTCTATTATGCCCTATCTTTAGCGAAGTCTGCATTTATCCCTAGAAATTGTAGGTCTTTTGAAATAACTTCCTTCCATGTAACGTTAGGTCTACCTCGTCCTCTTTTAACACATTCATTCATCATAGTTCCACCTATGGATCGGTGCATTTGTAGGTCAAGACTTGGTCAAACCATCTTAAGCGACCTTCTTTCATTTTATCCTCAGTGTGTGCTACTTGCCGCTCTTGTCAATGTGGTCAATTTTACTTTTATCTAATCTTGTATGACCGTACATCCACCTTAGTATTTGTATCTCCGCAACACTTATCTTGTGGATATGTTGGACTTAGCTGCCCAACATTCACCGGCAAAAACATTGCCGGTCTTATAAAAAGAATAACAGAATTGTCTGCATTTCATCCTTTTTCCATTAATGTCCATATGCATCAAGACTTGTGAATATTTGCTGCAGATGGAAATTCAAGTTACTTTGTTTGTTAATGTTTAAAGTAATGAACTTAACTATCATCTATTATGCCTTTAAAAATCAGGTGGTGTTTCCTAATTTATAGTCAGTTACCGTTGATGGATCCAACAGCAGATGAGCAATTGGATTATGGTGATGAGGAATATGGAGGAAGCCACAAGATGCAGTACCATGGAGGTGGGACAATTCCCGCACTAGCAGAGGATGAAATGATGGGTGAAGATGATGAATATGATGATCTTTACAATGATGTTAATGTTGGGGAAGGTTTCCTACAGCTCCAGCGGTCAGAGGCCCCAGTTCCACCTGTTGATGCGGGAAATGTGAGTTTTCAAGATCAGAAAGCTAGTTTTCCTGATGCAAAGGCTGATGGTATAGGATCAGATGAGGCGAAAATCCCTTGTGTTGCAACAGAAGGGAAATATGCTGGCACTGAAGTCCGATTCCCCGAGCAAAAGAGTGGACCTGTAGTTGAAAGGGCAACTGAACGACCGGCCGGTGCTGCACAAAAAGGAAAGCCTTTAGCAATGACGTTGACTCGCGATTCTCAAATGGGAAACTCTGGGTACCAAGGATCCATACCAACGACGCAGAAAATTGGAGCTGATCCTATCAATATGCCAGAGAAAAATGCCAATGAAGCTACACCGTTGGTGAATTCTGGTGTGGGTGGATCAAGGATTGTTCCGCAAATGCCAGCTAATCAACTGGGTTCGAGCGGGAATGTTAACATGAATAGCCCAATTATTAGCGAGACTCCTATAAGGCCATCTCTGGAGAATGGCAACACCATGCTTTTTGTGGGAGAGCTGCACTGGTGGACTACTGATGCTGAGATTGAGAGTGTGTTGACACAATATGGAAACGTAAAGGAGATCAAATTCTTTGATGAGAGAGCTAGTGGCAAGTCTAAAGGCTATTGTCAAGTTGAGTTCTTTGACCCAGCTGCTGCAGCTTCTTGCAAAGAAGGAATGAATGGTCATATTTTCAATGGGCGAGCTTGTGTTGTTGCGTTTGCTACTCCACAAACTATAAAACAGATGGGTTCTTCATATATGAACAAAACTCAAAACCAGGTGCAGACTCAACCACAGGGGCGGAGACCCATGAATGAGGGAGTTGGTAGAGGTGGGGCAAATTACGCCCCTGGAGATGCAGGGAGGAATTTTGGAAGAGGTAGCTGGGGGCGTGGAGGGCCGGGAATGCCTAACAGAGGACCTGGGGGTGGACCAGTGAGGGGAAGAGGAGGCATGGGAGCAAAGAATATGATGGGGAATCCTGGAGCTGGCACTGGTCCTGGTGGAGCTTTTGGCCAAGGACTTGCAGGTCCAGCATTTGGTGGTCCTCCTGCAGGTCTAATGCATCCTCAGGGCATGATGGGTCCTGGTTTTGATCCTGGTTTTATGGGTCGAGGAGCTGGTTATGGAGGATTTTCTGGTCCTGCGTTTCCAGGGATGATTCCTCAATTTCCAGCTGTTAATCCTATGGGCCTTCCTGGGGTGGCTCCTCACGTCAACCCTGCTTTCTTTGGTCGAGGAATGTCTGCAAACGGAATGGGAATGATGGGTAATGCTGGGATGGATGGGCCTCATCCAGGAATGTGGACTGACACAAGTGGAGGTGGATGGGGAGGAGAAGAACATGGCAGGAGAACTAGAGAGTCCAGTTATGGTGGTGAAGATAATGCATCAGAATATGGCTATGGAGAGGTTAGCCATGATAAAGGAGCCAGGTCAAGTGCTGTGTCCAGGGAAAAGGAACGTGGATCTGAGCGTGACTGGTCAGGCAACTCTGAGAAGAGACATCGTGATGAAAGAGAGCATGACAGAGAGAGGTATGATAGGGAGCACAGATACAAGGAAGAAAGGGATGGTTACCGGGACTATCGTCACAAGGAACGTGAAGCAGAATATGAGGATGACTATGACCGTGGACAGTCTTCTTCAAGATCCCGTAGCAGATCCCGAGCAGCACAGGAAGAGGATCATAGGTCTAGATCAAGAGACACAAATTATGGGAAACGTAGACGTGCGCCTTCTGAATGATCTGATCTATCCTGTCATGCATCTGTTCCAAGTATTTTATAGGACTATGAGCACAATCAATAACCTTTCGAGATGTCCTTCCTCCAGGTGCTTGTATGCAGTGGCGTTCTTCCTGTTTGTGTTGGTGCTGATACTCAGTGGTTTCTGGATTTAAAGAAGTAAGTCAAGTATTACTAAGGTTGCAGGAAGTAGATAAAGGTCCTTTTATTCTACTCCCCATAAACATGATTTGATGCAGAACTATTTGTGCTAAGATTATATGAGTACCTTTACTAAAATACTCTTATGAGTTTGCTGGTTTGAGCTTTCTAATTCCCAGTTACTGATCATCTTCTAGGTTTTATGATCTCATAAATTAGCTCTTTGGAGCTGATTAGATCTTCTTGTTTATTATCTTAGAGTTTGCCCTTTTGTGTATGGTGATATGCTGGTTAAGTTCTTTCAGTCACTTAGTTATATTTACTTAAGCCAAAAGCTGAGAAATAGCCTTTGATTCATGATGCTTGGCTTTTCAATCTGCTGCTCATGTGATTTTTAAAATGTGCTCTTTTTTTTTCTTTTGTTTGGGTGCACTTATGTGCTGGCTGGGGGAAGGGGGTTGTCTTATCTTGGTTATTCATCGCTAGGCTGCTAGACCTTGTTATCTAGGTATGCTTGTAGGTATTATTTCTTTTGTATTCAAACTTAGTCCTTATTTGTTTATCCGTTCAGCGAAGAAACTGAATTTTCATGATAGTATTTTTCGACTTCTGTGAAATTAATGATTCCAAGTGTGGCGGTCCTATAAATTGGTTGTGCCATGGCTGTTAAGTGGTATAGTGGTGCTTATATGTGTGGATCTTCCAGTATTATTGATGTATGCTAGCGTAGCTGATTTGTGAAGTTGAAGTGTTTTTAGTCGTGAACTAGTTAGGAGTCAGATACGTAATGCTGGTAATTTGTACGCATCCTGTCTCGAGTAATTATTTTAGCAACTTTAAATCTATGCGATACTAGTTCATACATGTTGTGAGCTTCACTCACTCCAATTTCTGCTGCACTCCTAGGTGATTTTTATGAGCATTTTCAGCTAAAATAAAATCTCATTGGTCAGAGTACTGATTTTATATGGCGGAGTCATCGGTTAGCAAACAATTTATTACATGTTGGTCTTTTGTGTGTAATAACCGGGAGATCTCCTGTAAGTTAGGTCTTTTGTGGTTTCTTTCTGTGTTAAATAAACATTGTTGCTGCAAAGATTTATTTCCTTATTAGCAGTACCATTTGGAGGGCTTTAAGCAAATTTCTTCGTACCTTGTCTTAACACCACCTTCAGCTCCTCCTCCCGACCCTAGAAGAGGATAGGGGCGCCAACTGATAGATCCTTCACGTTTTCAAGCTGGCCTTCATATGAGTCCATGTAAAGGATTTAGAGCTGAATTCCTCCGTCCTTGGTATAGCTAGAAGAGTCTATAAATCTGCATGGTGTATAACTAAAAAACTTAGTAAATCTGCTTGGGTCATCTGTGTTATATTGGTATGGTCTCATCTATTCTTGAATGACATTGATTCGGCAAGAAATGCATATACAGACATTTCATGCCACTTCTAAGTTCTAATTTTGAACAGTGTTGAACCTAGTAGATTATTTGCTTGAGGTTATAGTATTTGTTTGTACAATTCTTATCTGTAATGTGCTAGTTCGAGAGGGAAAGATTATTTAAGTTGCCCGCTTCCTGAGGCAGTTAAAGATCATTTGCATGGAGCTGATTTTTTCCTTCTTTCTTTTTGGTTCAATGTCCATATTAATTCATCTGTTTACTGTTATGGGCATCTGTAACTAACACAGTCATATGAGTATTTGGGTTGTATCATTTCTCATGAGTATTAACTTGGGGATTTCTCTAATTATCGTATTCAGGGAGCCGCGAGGCAACTCTCTGTTTTTCGTGACTAAATCAGCATATTTTGGTTATCTGGAGGAAGATGAGTTAAATTGGACAAATGTTTGAAAATGCTAGTCTCTGCCTAGTGCCTAGTGTGCGCGGGAAACATTATTCATATTGGCTGTAATTTTTGTTTTTTTAGCATAAAGCATTGTGAGCATCCAATTTAGAAAGGGATGTATCAGCAGGCCCACCAGTCTGTAAAAGCTCTATTTTTTGGAGCTCTGTATTGTAAATCATGTATTGTATAGGTTCCATAATGTGTAATGTTTCATGCACGTATCACTTTGAGCTTTGTAAAGATTTTATACCAAGCCCGCTGAGCACTTGTTAAGTATTTTTGGTTTGTACAAGTAATGCCAGCCTAGGTTAGGTGTTGTCAGCTAGCAATTTTTGTATAGAGTAATTTGTTGTTGTAACCGAAATTTAGGTGATTGCTGTAACATCTGGAGGAGTTGTATAGACCGCAATTTTTGTTCATCGCAATTATTCTGAGATGAGTTTAAAATACTAGAAGATGCATTCAACATGGACTACGTACATTCCAGGACACAGATAATGACCGCTGATTGCATCTGTAACTGCCTGTAGGCCTGTAAAAAGTTTATTGTAGTTAGATCATGTGCCAAGTGTAAATTTTTGTTGTAATATCTGAAAATGTTTGATTTTCCTTGTTTGTAACTTAGTCCGAGAACTTGTATAGGCTGTATATAATTGTAACATAGTCTGAGTTAGGAGTTAGAAGCTGTGAGTTCAAATGTATCAAAGGGGCCGGAAACAGGTACCAGGTTCCCATTGTCTTTAACCCGTTATATTTTAATACTAGCTTACCAAAAATCAATTTCTCTTCTATTTTTGCTTTTAGTTTCAGTTAAGTGCATGTTACTTAAAATAGATTGTAACTCTGTTGTTGAAAGTCAGAGCAGCCGAGACATCCTTTAATCGGCCTGGAGTTTGATGTTTCACCAGTAGGTGTAAGTACTTAGATTTGATCAAAGAAGCATTAAGAGATCACTCTTGCATTCATTTTCTCTAGTATTCTCATTCTATACTATATCTGCTGCTTTTTAACTGCTCTGAGGATCCTAGTTTTTTCCAGTTTAGTTAACTATGTCCTTCCTCTTGGCAGCTTTTCTTGGGGCCTTTAGTGTTTATGCTCCTCACCATTTGAACAGGGTATTTTGGTTCATATTTGACTGAGATGAGCAAAACTGAAATGACATAGACAATGATGATTGAGGCGTAGTTGTAGTTGTAGTTGTGTTTGTTGGTAGTGGTTCCCTATTTTGGTTCAATGAATTCTGTTACCTTATTTTTTATTTTAGTTTGGCATGTTCTTTTCTTTCACTTTGCCTGTTTGGTTGTGTTATTTTGATTTTATAAACTTCGTTGCTGAAAAGGTTGATTTGCTTCCCACTGGAACCTAAAGCTGTTTGATGAATGGATTGGTTGTTTTATTTTGGCGTTGGACTTTCATTATTTTTTATTCTCTAAACCGTTTTCCCCGGTGAAAATAGCACGAGCTAGCCAGTTTTTGGACTGTTAATAGAAAAATATCCAGCATTTGCAAAGTCATTGAAAAATAGTCACTATTTTGCTGTAACACGGAAAGTTCCAGCATAATATACTGGAGATTGGTGCACTTGTGTATGAAAACTTCCAGTATATTATACTGGAACTCCAACACATGGAAAGTTCCAGCATAATATACTGGAGATTGGAGCACATGTGTATAAACTTCCAGCATATTATGCTGGTTATGCTGACCAGCATATTATGCTGCAACTCTAGTATATTATGCAGGAATATTTTTGAATTTTGAACAGTGTTTTCGTTAAAATTTATCTTTACATGAAAAGTAACTAAATTTCTATTACTTTTGAAATTGTGGCTATTTTTCAAATACCACTTATAAACCTGGCTATTTTTGAATTTCACCATTTTCCCCGTCCCTTTGTAAAATGTGAACCAAAAGAAAGAAAAACCAAGCAGTCTAGTAAAATTCAAACCAAATAGGTTCTTAATATATATTCATCGAAATTAACAATTTGTCAGACTTCAAGAATGAAAATTGAGATGATGCATCCAAGAGTGTAACTTAATCAATAGTGACTTATTACAAAAATTGAGGTTCATATCTTTAAGCCAATCTCTCTCCGTTCCCCACGCTGAGGGGCAAAGTAGAGAGGGTGACGGAGCAATTGCAAAACTTTCGGTGTTTATATAAAATCATATATACTAATTTATCATGGTTATGTGTGATGTGTTTATTAGGTTGGTATAAATATTGAACGTAAGTAAGTTTTTACCTGGAACAACCGTCCCTTTTATGTTACACAAAAATCTGTCACGACCTATAATCCACTAGTCGTAATGGCACCTAACCCAACCCGCTAGGATTGAATCCCTCTAACTCAACCCAACTACGCAGGTCACCAAAAATCCAAGAGCATTGCCACGAAACACCTTATCCAACCCGTCACCAAGCTGCCCTGATTCTCCGAGTTCCTTCCGAATTGCCTTCAAATTAATACTTTCCCCTTGCTAGAACACTACTAACTTTAACCAAATCTTGTCCCACGAACTTTAGCATAGAACCGCACCGCCCTAAGGCTCATAAGTGACTGAATTCCCTCTTAAGTATCCCCAAAAGTACCACAACCCAAACACTTACTCTGAAGAGACTTCCTGCAAATCTAAAGCCATTACCTTTACCTCCCTGATGCTGATATGTAGCATCCATAATGATATAGAAATGCCACAAGTATTGACGTCATCCAATCTAACTCTCAGCTTCTAGCCATATACAAATCCGCAAAAACAATTGCCACATATAAATCTTGAATTCATTAGAACCATTCTCGAGAGTCATTTACTCTGCTCAAACTCAATTAAACTGATCAAACGGACCGAACAACATGTGCCTTATTTGCACACCAACACCCTAAGAATTAATCCACACTCTAAAGCAACCGAGTGAATCCCTACTCCATGCACGCTACATCCTTTACAATTAACAGCTCAATCATCTAATGTTTCACATACACTTCCAATGCATAATATAACCCGTATCAAGAAATTTACTTTACTCGAGTCATTCCCGATCTCAACCTCTGTATGCCATAACTGATTCACCAGTATATCTCAAACTGAAACTGATAATAGGTGAATTTGACTATAATCACGCACCGAATAACCACCTTCTTGTGAACTTTAATGTGGAAAAATGACAACAAAATGCTCTTATTGGTACTTTTCATGATTTGCAGGTGATATAGGTGTAAGGAAGGCTAAGGAGCAGTTTGGAGTCAACTATTGATGAAAAAAAAGGCTAATTGTTGCATTTCCCAAGTGACCCATTCAAAACAGGCCAAATTGCCCGGGTACAGGGTCCACCGCGGTTCCACCGCGACCGCGGTGAAACCGCGGTGGAAGGTAGTCTCTGGATAATTGAAGATCCGCGAGGGTATTTTACCGCGGTTCTACCGCGATCGCGGTAGAACCGCGGTGGACACAGAAACTTCGGGGACCAAAGTGTAAAACACGGGATTTTTAGACCTAAACCCTATTTTAAACACTAGACTTCGCCCAAGAGAGGCATGTATTGATTTTTTAGGTTTCTTAGCAAGGAGAACAATTGTGAGAAAGTACTCAAAACATCTTTCTTCTTTTCTTTTGATTTTATGATGAATTCAAGTTTAGTTTATTCTCCCATAACTATGAGTAGCTAAATTTCTTGTCTAAGGCTTTGATGGAA